TTGCTCACTTAGTGTAAGACCATAGTGATCTGAGTCAATCCTTTTCAGCTAGTTTCTTTGGTTGTGAGGTAAAAATACTTTCTTATTTATTTGATTACTTTAAGCCTAACGCTCTGAACAGACTCTAGGCATCCACATTGTCTTATCTTTTGACCTGGATGCTTTTATTTAGAAATATTAGTGAATTTCAATTACTTACTGCAAACCTTATGCATCTGGAATGCTCATACCATGGCTTTTAGCTTTAATAAAAAAATTAAAAGTAAGTCCCTTTGGTTTATATCCCTTTTGTGATTTGAACCTCTATGGGTCAAACTTGCATGCTTTCCTTTGTTCTTGCTTTTTTTTTGTTTTTAGCTTAGGCAAATTCTTGTGCCTCTGGGATAAGAAGTCACAGAAAAGACACTCATAAAAATATACATATTAAAAATTTCTTGAAATTCAGAATAACACTGAAAATTCTTGAAATTTGGTGTTTGAATTTCAGCTTCAGCATAACACAATTCTTCACACACACACACACAAACAAGCTCATGCACAAATGTAAAAACACTTAGAAATTATTTGTGGAAAATATGTAAGATTTATTTTCCAAAGGATCAGATTTCTCTACATGTAAAATACACCATCCCAGGTTCTGCATTACACAGATACTTACTGAAAATTTAATGAGATTAAGACTTTGCTACAGAAAGCCTTCAAGGATAGCAGCTGTGGTGATTCTGGAAAAATGTCCAAGGCAGGTAGAATAACAAGGGATCTCCTGAGTCATCTTCTTGGGGATTTTGTGGTCAGTGTTTCCACCAGGAAAGTTCATGCAACAGCTACTCCTTTCATCTTCAGTCCACAAAATAAAGAGCATTTTCATGCTCTATAGTAAACACAAGAACAAGGAATACAGCTAATATCATAGGTCTGGCAAGACTGAATTTAAAACAAGCAAAACCAATTATAATGATAGCATCAAAGCTAAGAATATGCAGTAAGAGGTAAAGTTCTATTATGCCCTTGGTTTCAGCCTGGATTTTCCTAAAGTATTGTAAGTTCCTAAAAGTTTGGAGAAGGGAGTACAGGATTTGATCAAAGAATGTGAATCATATCATCTTGCCACAAATTTCAGCTTGAATAAGTAAAATATAGACGATGTTATTCATGTGCATGTATCGAAATCAAAAATCAGTCAAATTATATATTTATCTTCATTGCTCAATCTAATAGTAATCCTGTGCTTTGCAGTAAACTTTGAGCACTGTGCTATCCCTAGACTGACCATGTGGAAAAGTGTGACATATATAAAAATGTCTGGTGCTGGAGAGTAGAAAGCCAAAAGGTGATGGACAAGTCAAACACTGCAACTCTCAGAGCAAACTCTTTGTGTTGTATTGTCAAGAGGAAGTAAAGGGACATCTTGTCAGCCTGGGTTTTCTGCTCAGCTTTGACATCTGAATGATAATCTTTCATATGGATTGCAAACTTCTCTGTCCTTCGCTTTAATGAGAGTAAATTAAATTAGTTTCATCAAAGAAATTAAATCCAGAATTGTAAAATAGCCCTAGTATTGAGTAAAAAGCAGATTTTATAAAAGTTTATCATGAGAACTTTTATTTTAAAAGTGCATACCACTTACATAAGTTGAAATGAAATTTATATGTGTAATTAGTAATGTTCAGTAAGTTCTCAAAGTCCTGGAGATGCTTTAAAGTATCTCAGTACTTGCTGATTATCTTGACTATATGATATTATTACCCTCTATTTCCCTGCAATTCTTGCTCCCTATTTTCTGCAATCAACAAGCTCTATTCCTCTAACTCTCAGAAGGTCTCCTCTGTCTTCCAATATCTGTGAGATCTGCGTCCTTATCATACTGCACCTAAGTATCCTGCTGCCTCTCAGATTTCCTGCTTAAAACTTGTGGAGGCTTATCTGATGCTTTTGCATGTTTATTTGGAACTTATGGATTGCTGATGTTTCCCAAATGAAATCTCCAGGGAAAACGAATAATGTTAAATATCCTTAAAGCATTCTGTCCCAACTTTATTAGAATCTGGTGCTAAATTTTTAAGTCTAACTGTGCTTTGCAGTATCAAAGAACTATCCTCCCATCCTTGGAAGTGTTCAAGGTCAGGCTGGATGGGGCTTTGAACAATCTGATCTAGTGGTATGTGCCCCTGCCTATGGCAGTGTTTGGAAATAGATGATCTATGAGGTGCTTTTCAACCCAAACAATTCTATGAGTCTATGAACTGGCAGAGAAGGGATTATTATTTTGAAGCAGTTTTTCTTAATTAATTTGCAAAGTGTTCTATCCAGAACACTTCTTCATTTAGAGCTGTAAATACAAAGTATCCTATTCCCACTAATGCCATATAGCTGTATACCTAGAACTCTATAAAAACTCAAGGGGAAGGTTGCTGATGAGTTTCTGTATCAGCCGATAAACAAGAGAAAATCTGTGGTCTTAGTAGAAAATAAACCACACATTTTTTTCCATGAGACCAAATTAAAATTAAATATAACATAGAGCAACTAGTCTACACATTCATGATCTTTTTAATTCTAAAAAAATATTTTGTCTCATTCTCAATATGAAAACATCACTTGCCTCAGAAATCCAACCTCACTTGGAGCTAGAATACTTACTCTGGAGATGGGTAAGTCCAGTTGCAAAAAAAATTAGTTTTTCCATCTTGTGAACCATGGTAGTACCTTTTATTTAACCCATAGAGCACAGCTGTCGACTTTCTCAAGTCATTGTGAGATAATGGGCACTTGTGTGATAGTGGGAAAGATCAACATGGTAACACTCAAGGCCATTATCTCTCATTATCTGAAAAGTGCCATACCTTGAGGAAGTGAATAAAGAAGCTCTCTAAAGAATCTCGCAGCTGTGGTTCATGTGAAGCCAGTTACACTGGATCCGAGAATGCACAATTTCTTGTTACTCTCTGCTGACTTATCCATGTATCTGAACTTCAGGTTTCCCTAATTGCTTTAGACCTGCAGTGGCAAGAGGAACAGAATTTCTCCAATCTTGAACAGCACAGAATTAGCAACAGTTAATACCATGTCATGTTTTAGTGTTAAAAATAGCAAGATACAGGGCTATTGATTCTGCTGGTATAAGAATTCACCTCTCAGTGGAGCAGTCAAAAAAAGAAGAGCTGTTACAATTTATTTATTTTCCTATGTAGTGGTGTCCTTTTTGGTCTATGGAATAGTATTTTTGGATTGTAGGCTTTTTCAAGATCATGTTACTCAATAAAAGGAGTGCTCCTAAAACACAGTTTGACCACTGCAGAAAGTTTTACACAACTTGCTGTCATCTTTCAGAGCTTGATATACTCTGCCCTTAGTCAACAGTGTTATTTTGGGGTTATATTACAGTGGCATCCCTCATTTCTAGATGGGATTGGTGTTCTTTTATGCTGGTCAGTCCAAAATATATGACGTAGTTCACATCAAATTGAAGATGCTCAAACTGAGATTTTTTTTCAGGCCATTCTGCCATTCTATAAAGCTCTGCTGTCTTCCTTGGTTTGTCTGGGGGGTTTGTGTGTGCCCGTGTATTAAATTTTTTTTTTTTTTAACCAATCTTATTTTCATTTCAACAGGAATTAATTTAAAGACCTATTTCATATTTGACACTGAACAACTGTCAGGTGATGAAAAAATTCTGTAGTGAACTGTTCTGGATTCACTGGAATAGAGGCCATGAGTATCTACCATTACAGCTTTCATGAATAATTGATTACTCTAAGGACAAACTCTGATTCTTTATTTATCAAATAACCCTTTGCCAACAGACTAGAAAATAGTGAATCATGAAGACATGGACATGGAGAAAGATGGAATTTTTTTCATGGCATAGACAGATTATGCTCTGTGAATACTGGTTATCAGAATTACTCAAAATATGTGTGATTTTTTAACAATTTAAAGATAAAAAATATCAGGGGCTTAACCAAGTTGCTGCAAAGCTATTACCAGACTTTTTAAGATCTGTCAAATGTTTTTTTGTGAAAAACAAATGAGCATATTGTTCAATTAATTTGGGGAAGGTGATTTCAATCCACAAGTTAAAAAATCCCTTGAGTAGCTTTAGTGAAGTTCTCTGCCAAAATGGCGTACATTTTTTTTTAATATGGACCCTGACTTTCAGACAGTATCAGATCAGTGTTCTGGTAGAAGTTAGCTAAGAATAATCCTTTTCATAAAAGTCCAAATTCATCCTTAAAGCAGAGTTTATTCAAAATACTTTCCTCCAAATGATTTTGAAAATTGTCTTTGGAGGATTTGTATATTTTGTAAGTTGTGTAGATGTTTTTTCAAGGAAGAGATTCATTTATTGCTTCATGGGATATTATTATTATTATTATTATTATTATTATTATTATTATTATTATTATTATTATTATTATTTAATACTGAGGTATTGTGTGCTATTCTGAAATTACATAAACATAATATAATATAATATAATATATAATTATATATAATTATATATTATACATAATTATTTATATTTTTATTAGTTTAAATTATAATTTAATATAATAAATTATATGTATACATGTATATAATATATAATGTATATTATTTCACATTTTCATTGATTCTTTTCTTAGTAATTTTATTTTAAATGTTCTTGTTTTAGTTATTGAAGTAGCTTTTCCCTGACATAAAAATCACAAATTGGTCTTTGGATAGGAAAGCCTGTTCAGCATTTACAGCTTATACCTTTTTTCAGTAAAGGGAGATTGGTGCATATAAAATTAAACTAAAGAGATGCGTTTCAAGAAAGTTAATGACATTTTTATTTGTTTCTTTCTGCATAACCTCTCAGAATAACTACATGAAGAAGAAATACTCATTTTCAAAGAAAAATAGTAGTTTTCTGTTAGGTCATAGTACAGCATGATATAGAACCTGTTTTGAGATTTTAGATAACATAGCACACAGTGGAACAGCAAAAGCTTTTTATTTTTCTTCTCTCTTCACAGATGGACCCAATTCAGAAAGCTGTAATAAATCATACATTTGGAGTTCCTCTTCCTCACCGAAGAAAGCAAATCATATCATGCAACATTTGCCAGCTGAGATTCAATTCTGATGTAAGTCGATCATTTTGTATCAGATTAGAAATATCTACTTATCTTCTAGGATGTGCCATAATTTCCAGAAATTGAGCCTAAATGAAATGTTGTGATTTCAGTTTGTTGCTCAGCAGATGAAAAGGCTGTAAGCTGTTTCAAATAAACACAATGGCTTGGTAATGTTTATACACCCAGCCAGATTTTCCCTGCCAATATATCCCTGTAAGCTCATCAACTTCAGTTCTGCTGCACTGAGTGTAAACAGGAAAAATTGACTGATCCCTGGTATATCTGCTGGATCCCAATTCTTCTACCAGTTATGTGTACCTTCATTTGGCTCCTACCTTGCATCCTCTCACTCCTCCAGCAACAAAGCAGAAGAAGCTGAACTGGAGATGCTCCTAATACACCAAGGAAGTGAACCTGTCTCCCATAATTACCCAAGGGAGCTGTGCTGTGATGCTCCTTGCCAATTAATACCTTTTGTGTCACAGAAAAGCCTCTTAGGTTTTAGCTCTTCTATTTCCTTCTCAGAATCACTGTGTATGAAAACCAAACCTGACATAGTAAAATGTATTTCTTTCTGCTATTCTTGGCTCTTCAGGAAGTTTCTTCACATGGGCATTGCTAGTGGGAACTAATCTTCCCCTGCCTTTAATTCATTATGTAATTTAAATATGGAAGTTAGTTCTGTAGAATAAAAATGTTTTAACTTAGAATGAGGTCAAACCCAAAACTGTCCACAAGGGTCATAGGAAGAAGTGAAATAATTCATGTGTACTCTTGCCTCTCTAAAGGCAGCTATTTATATACAGTTTGTACTATTTTTAGTTTATTGATTATTTATCAAAACCATGAGCTTCTCAAAAACTTAAATTCAACCTTGAAGTCTAATTTTAGAGATTTCTCATTAAGGGGTGAAAATATTGTAGCTCTTTTCATTCCCCTCAGCTTTTTATCCCTTGAAAATAATTTCAAAATATCTCAGTCACCATTTCTGGACCAGTCAGCATCACATACTTAATTTTACTGATGACTTCAGGTTATTTGCTTCATTTACTGAATGGGCACCTTCTCTTATAACACTGACATAATTCTCAAAGAGTGGTACAAGGAAGGGCAATACACTCTCTGAAACTGTCACACCCCTCACAGATTAAAATAGAAGAGTCAAATTAGGCTCTTCCATTTAGAAACCAGATGCCAAAATTAGGACTGTGGATGCTGAGTCATTTATGAGGAGGGAATGATGGAGACTTCTGGGCCACAGTGGTTCTTACCATTGGAGCAACCCAATCTATCACTAGAAATTTTCAGCTTTTTCAGCTTTGTCTCAGGAAAAAGCATGTCACACTGAACAAGACACAGTATGTAGCTGAGAGATCAAATACTTCAGTGTTACATACCAGAGTGAAACATTGCCTTTCAAAGAGAATATACCATTTGTTTGTCTTCAAAAAGGTCTGAACAAAAGACAAGATGAACATATCAGTAAAGTTACTTAGTCATTAGCAGTTACACGACTTGGATTGATATGTGGAGTGGAAAGTTTTCCAGCTGAGATCTATGCATTTTCCAGAATAAAATGTTTGAACTAAAAATTGTTCTACACAGAGACAAATAAAGCATCAGTGGACCCTGATAATTGTTACTCAGAGGACTACTCTGCTCCCATACTGCTTCTCTTAGGTTTCTGAAGAAGAGAGAGGGAAGAAGCAGAGGCCACTTTCAGAGCCACCTACAGTGTCCAAAAAACTAATTTTGGAAGACCTATATTAATTTAAGCTGTTCACAGAAAACTCTTGGAAGATTAGCTGATATTTATCTGTCCTGTCACACCTTCAGGTGTTGGAGGCTTGAACTCAAATAGTCAACATTGTTCAAAAGGTTGTTTTAATACTCCCCTCTCTCTAATAGATCAATATTGTCTTTACTGAATAGGGAGACTTTCTTGATGAGTATATTTAATTTTCCACTTTTAATATTCACCTAAGTTCTAAAGCAACCGCAGTGTTGATTAATTGAGAGATTATGATCCAAAATCCACCCATTGATTAACCTGAAATGATATCTCTTCCCCTTTTCACTACCACAAAGAGGCAACTTGTGAATATCTTTATGGTAGTGTCTTCTCATTCCAGTGCTTATAGTTATTACTGCTGAAAATCACTAAGTGCTCTGCTGAGCTATTCAAGAAATAATTTGTAGTCAGAGTTCCACTGCAGTTTAGGAATGTTTTTCTGCAACGTGAAGGGAATAAGTAGAGCTATTTTCTGCATTGCTTAGGTAATTTTGAAATGTCCACCTGTGTCTGTGTTTGAAGCAAAAATGTGGTAAATGAAAGATTTAATATTTGGATTCAAAGAAAAAAATGCTTTGAAGGAAAAGGGCTGTTAGCTATCATTTTTTGATAACTCTATTATGAATGGCAAGCACACACATTGTAATTCTTTCTCCTATTATCATGAAAAAGTTTTCATTTACTCAATATTCCTACCTTTCATTTTCATCATATTTTGTTGAACACAATTTAAATCCATAACAGCAATAAATAACTTTTCTGTCTAGGAACCTAGGCTTTATGTATATTCTACCAATATGTCTCTATTTTTAGATGCAGGAGATAGGTTTTATCAGAGAGTAATGAATAGAAATTCCATTTTCCTCATACACAACAATATTATGAAAATGTTTACAATAAAACTGGTCTGTGGGATTTTTCTTTTTTGCATAGAATACACAATTTTCTCCCTTTAGATAGAAATTTCTTTAAGGCAGCAGAGGTTTTTTTTCTGGTTACATGGTATCAAAATCACTTTTAAAAAATATGAGAAAAGGCAGTACAATAGTCTAAAATCATTTAGCTTCTTTGTAAAGGAGTTATCTATAAATCTTCATGACAGCTGTGTGTTCAGTATGTTTTTTAAAAATAAATCTCATACAAGGGAAGAGAGGAATGTGCAAATAACCAAAGCCCCTCCATGCTGAGCAAAAACATTAGAATAGCAAAGGTAGGTTTTGTGGACTCCAAGTAATTTTTTTTCAGAGAGATCTAGATATATTATTTACACTCACATTGTGCATTCAAACTAGGGTGAAACGTTTAAATATATGCTTAGCTCCAAATGCCTCTGTTGCCGCTTGGATACTGGCAGCTGCTGAGACCTATTGCACCAGTAAATGCTTATTTTGTAGCAAACATTAAATCTTTATCTCTAAGACCTAAAGTATCTGTTAAATGCGGTCCAGCAGACTTCAGTAGGGTATTTCAGGTGCCTATAGGTAGCTGCAAGAGTAATTTTCTGCTTATAGCCTGGAAAAAAAGAAAAAAAAGTGATTACTGAATTTTTCTGCCTTGACTATATGATCTTCCTTTGCCCATGAGATTATTTGATAAAGCTCTATAGTTATCAGTATCTGTCAACAAGGTCAATTTTTTTGCAAAGGGATTACCTTTTTCTTCCCTCTTTTAACGAGATGGCTGAGTGATGACCCAGTTTGCCTTTATAGAAAGGTTGGGCAGCATTCTGATGTGTTCACAGGGCTTGAATTCCATTATGATACACTTTAAAAAATATTTCCAATTATATGAGCCAGAAATTATTGTTTGACTTAAATAGCAAGTGTAGTAATATTTCCCTGCAAATCAAGGATGCTCATCAGTCCTTATTTGTTGTTTTTTACCTTATTTTTCTCCATCTCTATGAAGCAAATGCATCACCAAATTTATATATTGTTCCACTGCATGAATTTATCAGGATTCGAAAGGTGGTCTTCCATTAAAACAACAGTGAAAGATTTTTTTGAGGATAAGGATGCAATATAACTCTGCAGTATTTTATTATGGTTCTAACTTTTGCTGGGAAAGAAGCAGGACCAGAGGACTAATACCCTATTTAGGCTATGCTTGATATCTAAAACAAAAGATTAATGTATCAACTTGTAAGGGCCTAGGGTATAATAAGGTGATAATAAACAGTCAACATGAATTTGTCAAGAACAAATCATGTCAAATGAATCTAATTTTTTCCTTTGACAGGGTAATTGGCTGAATGGATAATAGGGAATAAATAGATGTGACATATTTTGGCTGTAACAAGGATTTATACAGTCCTATGTGACAGTCCTGTAAAGTAAGTAGGGGAATATGGTCCAGGTGAAATTATTAAAAGTTGGTTGCAAAACAGAATGAAGAGATGCAGTGAGAGTAGCTCCTGATGTTTTCCTGTCAAAACAAAAGGTCACAACAAATCAGGGTCTGAAAGAGTCTCTTCCATGCTTACTGCTACTCTAATTTTTCATTAGCAACGTGCCTGACAGGACAGTGTACACATGCCAGTTTTGTGGATGACATCTAGATGAAGGGTGGCAGACTCTTGATGGATGGTGGTAAGTTCCAGATCTCAGTCCAAAATTATCTCCAGTTGGAGAAAACAGTTTGGAATTCTGACAAGTGCAGTAAATAAAAGCATGAACAATTGTGCTTAGACTGGAACAAGTAAATGCACAAGTACTAAAATGAGTAAATGTTGGGCTTAATGGAATTATGAATCATAATCCAAATATGATGGCTAATGCAGAAAAACAAAAAAGAAGGAAAACTCACCCAACTAATCCTATGATAATTTTTCCCCCAAATATGAGATTCATCAATAAGTAAGTATTCCACAGCAAATATTCAAGAGCAGCCCTACGAGAAGGACTGGGGGTGCTTGTGGATGAGAAGCTGGACATGCCCCAACAATATGCACCTGCAGCCCAGAAAGCCAAACAGGTTTTGGTCTGCATCCAAAGCACTGTGGGCAGCAGGTCAGGGGAGGGGATTCTCTTCTGCTCCACTCTTGTGAGACCCCACCTTGACCACTGCATCCAGTACAGGAATCCTCAGCATAGGAAAGACATTGGCCTGTTGGAGCACATCCAGAGAAGGGACAACAAGATAATCAGTGGGCTTGAACATGTCTCCTGTGAGGAAAAGCTGAGAGAGTTCGAGTTGTTCAGCCTGGAGAAGGGAATGC